TCCTCTCCTCCACACACTACCTTCCACCGTGCCACACTCTGTCCTCTCAGCCATATTTCCTTCCTCACAAAGGTCTGTATTCATTCCCCTCTATCCCCTGATTTAAATTAAAACATCCCCTATCAACCTTGTCTTGCTCACAAGGATAGGAACTGATATACCTACAAAAACAGGGAGACCCTTATGGACAGAAGGTCATTTTTTATCACTCTCCAATATGAGGCCATGAGATGGGGCAGGAACAGGTGTCCAGGAAGGTCCTTCCGTGATCTCTCTTTCCTATTGTCCTCAGTTCTAAAAGGGTATATGGAGGGGTGCCTGGGTGGCTTAGTAGGTTAAGCATCTGCCTCTCTTGGTACATGAAACCAAGCCCCATGTTAAGCTCTGAGCTGACAGCATAGAGCCTGCTTGGGGTTCTCTCTCTGCCCCTCCCCACTCAAAATAAATAAACACTAAAAAATAAAAAGAGTATGTGGGCTTTCTAATTCCCATGTATTTTCATATTCCCTGGCACCCAGATTCCTTTACATCCTTCCTTGGGTATTCCCATTTGTTGGATCAGAACAAGGTTAGCTTAGAGTCCTTGGGCTGCTGTCCTCTACAATGTAGCCAGGGGGAGCTTGGGAGGTGCTGAGGTTCCTGGTACTAAATTCTGATGAGTAGCTGCTTTCTCAGTACTGAGGGAAGAAGCATAGGGTAGTGTCAGCCCAAAGGACAGTCTTATTGGTGCCACCAGGTATTGTCTAGAAGAAGCAGTAGCATCAGTCTAAGGAATCTACCCAGGGGAGGGAGAGCACTCCTTCCCAAAGTGAACAGGAATAGAACCCCTGAGATACCCATTTCCCATTTTTCTCCCAACCCTTGTCCATGATCACTTTTCTCAGGATGCATTAGGGAAGAAAGCATTGGGATATTATTAACTAGTGGATGCAGATTTGACCCTGACCTAGGACCATGTCAGTTGTGATAAGGGGCTTTTGGGGAGATACTCAGCCCATTTCAGCTTCCCTTTTCTCATCTGTAAGTGAGGCTGGTAAAAAACTCCATTTCACAATATGACCCCACCCCCATTAGAGCTTCTATATTTGGTTCTTATTTTTTTTCTTCTATATTCCTAAAAGTTACATCACACACAGAGACATTGAACTTGATGCTTGTATATATTCATTGACATAGAACTCCACAACATATATTTGTTTGCTGAAAAAATACACAGTATAGAACAGAACTTACATTTGATCACTTTTATCTATACATACCTGTACACAGTTATAGGGAAATATCTAGAAGGACATTTATCAAAGGGCTCACAATGTTTATATAAGGATGGAGAGTTTCAGGTAATTTGTATTTTTTGTATATTCCTTCATTTTGTGAAGGTTTAACAGAGTAACACTTCTTTCATAAGAAGAATAAAGTCACCAAGGAATGGACACAGGCAGAGAACAGACCCTTAGCAGGGACAGAGGGCAGGCCATCCTCTCCACTTTGGTGGTATCCAAGACCTCTCCAGTCCAAAATAAAGCCAATTTATGGATTAATTAATGCAGATAGAAGTCTACCCACTCTCATTTTCCCATCTGAATACAGTAAAGGATTCACTTAGGGCTGGGTCTAGCACCTTACTAGAGGCCCAGAGAGGTCATTGTGTCTGCTAGGGACTTCCTTTGACCTCTCCTTTTCTGTATGTGTCAGCTCCTGCAGAATGATGATCAGATTCTCAAACACCTCAGCCTTGTTGCTCTCACTGTCACAGGTTTCCTTTGAGTGGCCCTCCTCACCACAATACGAACAGAAGACTGTGTATTTTCGCTTCCTGGCTCTACGCATATCCCCAGGACCATCATTCTTATACCCAGAACCCCCACTGGTAGAAAGAGATTGAGCCACAGAACTGCTGGAAGAATCAATAACCACTATTTGATCCAGACATCTGGTCCTGCCTCTGAGAGGAGGGACATCCATGGATGTACGTGGAGGGTCCTGAGACTCAACTAGGATCACATCCTCATTTGAGTCATCAAGAGTATCATCTACCTCTATCACATTGCAGTCATCATTGCTGATTGCTATTGGCTGAGGGCCCTGAAATGCCATGTGGCTTGCTGCCCTCTCCAAGATTAGCCCAGACCTTTTGAGTCTCTTCGGTTTCATAAAAGTGTCATTCCAATCCCCTTCCTCCCTTATCATCTTGATTAACTCCAAAAAATTAGGACGATGCTCTTGATCATTTGCATACATCCTAAGAAGATGTTTCAGCTTAAAATGCAGGTCCATATTCAGCTCAGCTCCTAAAAGGAGCTGGTGCAGGCAAGTCTTGTTTGCATCTTTCTGAGCTATGATCCCTGCGTGAATAGCATTCTGAAGCTGCACTTCTAAAAGAATCACATAAAGGGAGGCTTTCTCCCTTGTGCCTACAGAGTGTTAAAAAATTTACCATGGGCAGCGACACTGCTTTCAGACTCCCCAAACACCAATTTCATTGCCCACAAGAAATCAGCCACTCTTAGATTGGGGTTGGCAGCCTGGAGCAAACGCATGACCTCCCTGGCAGGGCCCCTAAAGGTTTTCATCAAGCACTTGAGCTTTTCCTCCTCAGACATACTCCAATTGGGCAGGACCCCATTGACTTGGATCAGTTTTCAAAGGTTTCTTCCCCTTGGGCTGGCACCACTCTCCCTGAGAACAATTTCACATTTCTTTCTGCCATGTTGACACTTAAAGGACCAAGACTCCTCCCCAGAGACCTCAAAATTGAATGGGCCCAAGGTGGCCAGGGTGTGTTTTGCCTCTGGCTGTTACCCACACATGCAATGATGCTAGCCATGATGGTGGATGATCTTCTATCTGAATATAACAAGATGCTCAGGCTTTTCAGAAAAGCCTAATCTGTATGAGGAATCCCCAAAGCAATGTTCCCAGGCTCTGCTTTCCTTGTATCTCAATAGGGACTGTAAAGAAAAGGGGGAAGAAAAGGTCAGTAAGTAGTAGATTGCAGGGAAGTGGTCTGCAGTCGCTCTACTTCCATGAACACCCTGCAATACATTTTATATTTGCTAACTGACCTAAAAATATGCTGCAGGAGACTGGCTATTACAACTTTCTGGAGATACTGGATGTCTTTGTGCTAGCAGGGTACTTTTCAGAGCTACATCCATCACTCCTGTAAGTCCTACAGGAGGGAGGGCAACTGTTGCTTTGAATTCTAGGTGAAATTGTGTGTGGGGCTGTTACTGGGCTCTCAAAATAGAGTGCAAAGGTCTAAGTCTCATAGATTTGTGATAATTAATAAGATATCCATTAAAATAATTGTGTGTCAATCATACTCAAATAAAAAAAATGTAAAGATATCCCTTAAACTCACTACTCGGATCTCAACCACAGCCCCTTCTCAAAGTCCCTCACCCCTTATTTCTTAGATTATAAAACATAAGCTAGGAAACAAGTGCACGCCTTTATTTCACTTCCAGCCTCTGCAACAGGTGCCCTCCTGAGAAAGCTCGCCGTCGGAGTAGGTCGACCTCTGTCCACTGGGGGTTGCAGATCCCAGCCCTGATTTCGGTCCACTGGGGGTTGCAGATCCCAGCCCTGACTTCGGTGCACTGGGGTTTGCAGATCCCAGTCCTGAGGACGTCAAGACTGCGTGGTCGGGGAGGGCCAGACAGAGAAGGAGGAGTCAAGTGCAGCCTCATCCCTCATTCTTCATCCCACTCCCTCTCCCCCCTCTGCCCCCCCACCTCCGCTGTAGCCAGACGGAAAATTCTATCTCCCACCTTCAGACAGAAAATTCCCTCTCCTACCTTCTGAATACAAGCCAAAGCAAACCTTTCCATTACTTTTCCCTGGGAAATCGTTGGCCTGCCAGCTCTGCAATCAGCCGCAAAGAATTCAAGTTCTGATTTGGCTTTGATGGCCTATAAGAGTTGGACATGCACACCCACATATATTCCTCCCCAGGAAGAGAAGGGGATATGCAAAAGGAGTTCAAAGCAGACAGTTTGTGATTCTCTTCCCCTTGTCCCTCCCTTACCACCCTTTGAAAATGCCCCCCCCCTTTCAATTCAGGCAAATCCTACCCATTTGGCAGCTTCCAGCAAAACCCCACCTCCTCCCTTAGCTAGCGGGGCCAAGGGAGTGCTCCTTCCCTGCCTCGCAGTTCTTGATTCCCTAAGTGGTGAGCCGCCCGGTACTAGTGGAGCTTCCCCTTCCTCTCTCCTCTCGGGGCAATCGCGCCCCCCCCCCCCCGCCGCGTTTTATTATTTTTTTACCTGTGCTCTGCTGGTGGGCAGCGGATGCTTCGTCTTGGACAGCTGTGGATGTCTCCTCCCAGTCTCTGCGGCCTTGCATGGGGATGCTTCTTCGACCTCAGAGCGAACGGGTGCTGCCCAACGGGGCTGCTCCACAGGGCAGACCAGTAAGTGGTACCTAAGCCTAGGCAGCATGGTTCCCAAGGCAGCCGCGGCCGCCCCCGCCCACCCACTGGGTCCTCCCAGCAGCCGCCGCTAAGGTTAGCCTCTGCCCATTGACACAAAAGAGCTTGATGAGCGGGGCGGCGCGGCCAATCAGCGGAGCGCGGGGGCGGCCTCCTCTCTCAGTCTACCGCCCTGAGGCCATTGCTAGCAAAAGAGGGGAGCCGACCAGCAGGGGCTGCGGCACACGGGCGACAGAGCCAGCGAGGTGTCAAGTGCAGCTCGGACGCACGGACCGGGCCGATTTGCATTTTACCCGTGAGTTTGCTGCTTTCCCCCTTGCTTTCTTTCTCCCTCTCCTCTCCAACTCAACTCTCCTCCCTCTGCGCTTTGAGACCGGATGCCTTAAACACGAGGTGGGACAGAAATCAAGTGAACAATAAGAGTTCCTCACCTTTGTATAGGGGGGAAGGGGAGAAAACATTTACTGAGCGCTTTCTGCGTGCGAATATGCTGGCACAGACATCTCATTTATTCTCAGCAGCCCTGTGAAGGAGGTAGTGGTGTGCCTGTTTAACAGAGAGAGAGAGAGATCTTCAGCACTCAACCAGTATGGTTAGGAAGTGCAGAGCTAAGCTCTCACACCCAAGTCAACATGTCTGATTTCAAAGGCTACCCCCTGTAAATACTCTCTACTCTTTGAGGGTTGGTGGAGAAAAGCCAAAGTGGAGATGTGAGGGCCCATTTGGAACTATATAGAATTAGTGAGCAAGGACTATTATCTTCATTGTACAGATAGGGAAACAGAGAGGTCAGGCGTCTTGCCCAGCATCACACAGCAAATAAATTTCAGCATCCGATTTTGCATCCAAGTCTGTTGTTCTAATGCCAACTATTTGCCTAGCTGACCTGCCTAGACAGTATGTTTACATCGGTGGTCTCAAACCACCAGGAGTCTTGGTGTGATAGTAGTGTTCAGTGAGATGGGGAGGGGAGGGAGTGGGGTGGGGGAGTGGGGTAGGGGAAGAGGTAGGCAACTTTTACAGTACCCACTATAAAAAAGAGGAAACTAAGGCACTTTTCTTTCTCATTCTACACTATACTTTATACTACAATAAGCTGCTTGTTTATTTAAAAAAATAAAACATTATTTCTACGGCTTATGAGCTCAAAGGAAACAAGGCTCAGAGAAGTGAGATGACTTGCCCGAAATTACAAGGTGAAGCCAAAATTTGGACCAAATCTCTCTGACACCAGAAACTATGCTTTTAACCAAAGTATGGGTACAAGACTGGTTGCCTCAGAATCATTTTGGAGAGCTTGTTAGAAAGGCATATTCCTTAGTTCCACCTCTGGGAGATTCAGATTTGCTAGGACTAGGGGTGGGGAGTGTGATTTATATTTTTAACTAGTGCTGTGGTTAATTCTGAGGTGTAGAGAAGTTTATGAATCACTGGTGAAGACACCACATCATGCTGAGGGTAATAAGTAAATGGCCTGGTGCCAATGTATCTGGCCACAGCACATCTGTCATGAAATGTAACCCCACTGAGCAGAGGTTCCTACCCAGGGTTCCTTATGAAATTGTCTGCGAAGAATTTGGACTCTGTATATTTTTCTGAGTTCTTAGTTTTGTAGATTTTTCAAGATAAGTTTGTGGCCCAGAAATGTTTAAGAATCATTCCCCTATAATCTTTCTTCATAACATCTTTCAACTTGTACTTCAGGAAGAAGTGTGAGAAATAAACAGTTTGACCTAACCGCTGGTCCACAGCTCTCTACCGCTGATACAGCTCTTTCATTTCCTGGCTTGAGGACAGGTTGCTAGGTTGCCCTTCTGTGAGCTCTTGAGGGGACCTCTCCTTTGCTGTATTTGGCATCACTGGCCCCAGAGAAAGAATAACTCCATGGAAACGGCATGCAAGGCTATGCTGGTCATGCAGGGCCACCAGCTTGAATGGGCTGTGAGGCCAGTGGCTGGGAAACCTTCTCTATATTCTAGGACTTCTCATTCTTGGAGAGCAGGTCTTACTTTCCTTATGTAAATTGTGGCTAGGAGGCCCCTGTGGGGCTTGTTCTTGACTCCTGATGTTTAGAAGCAAATGAACAATCTAATGCCCTTCCACGACTATTGTTGGGTTCATCTTCAACATGCCAAGGTATTTCACCTGCTCCTTTCTGCCCTCTTATTTACAAACCCAATACCTATGGTTCTTTGAAGTAAACAGTTCAAATTTGGAAATGAGGACTTTTATCTAAGGGACCTTTCTCTTGTGGATGGAACAGTGTGGAAGGGGTTGTGGAGGCTGGAGGGTATGGGAGGTAGAGAGAAGGCTGACCTCACCCAGTCAGCAGTGATGCTGGCAGTAGCTCTTAGGCTTCTTGAGACTTTTGCTTCTGCTCCCCAATACCATGAAATTGACCCTGTGTCACAGCAGATTCTGTGTTTAAATTGTCTTCACTGCCAACTTAGGTGATCTGCAGGTGGACCTGGTGGGGATGGGATCATATAGGAGAAGTAGATTCTAGAACTCTGACCAAAAAAGTGAGAAGAAATGGATTATGTAAAGGTGTCTAGATTGGGCCCTTAAAGGAGGATTTGCTAAACTGGCTCCAGTTGGATATAGAGTATCCCTTACCTCTGGCCTTATGTGTGGGAGTGTGTTCCAATTCATGGCTCTGATGAGACCACATTTTGCAATTTCAACAAAGAAACCTTAAAAGTCTGAAGGTTAGGGAGATAAAGCTTTTCAGCTGAAACAGTAATAGCTTCCCTGGCTGCCTGCCTCCTCTGTGCCAGGAACTTTCCATCTGTTATCTTTACATTTAAGCTTCTCAGCAGCCATATTAGACAGTCATTGTTATCCCATTTTGCAGTTAGGGAACCTGAGTTTCAGGGAAATTAAGTAACTTATATAAGGCCACACAACTAGTAAGTGGAGTTACTGGGACTTCAGCCCTCTCAGGGCTGTCACACTTTAAAGCCCATGAACAACTTTGCTGTCTCCCAAACAAGCAATTTAAAATGCACTCTGCAAGGGCACCTGGGTGGCTCAGCTCACTCAGTTAAGCATCTGACTTTTGTTTGGATCAGGTCATGATGTCATTGTTTGTGGGCTCCATCTGGCTCTGTGCTGGCTGTGTGGAGCTTGCTTGGGATTCTCTCTCCCTCTCTCTCTGCCTGTTCCATGCTCCTGCTCCCTGTCTCTCCCTGTCCTTCCCTCCCTCCCTCCCTCTCTCTCCCTCTCAAAATAAATGAAGTAGACATTAATAAAATAAAATAAAATCTACTCTGCAGATGACCCAGTGCATTAGACTGATTTCAGCTTTTAGAAGAAGTGTAGTTGTAATCTAATCTTTATTTCTGGGATCTTTTTTTTATAATGAAACTAGTAATATAACTTAGGGAGCAATTTAT